GAAGGAAGGAAGGAAGGAAGGAAGGAAGGAAGGAAGGAAGGAAGAAAGGAAGAAGGAAAAGAAAGAGAAAGGAAGGAAGGAAGGAAGGAAGGAAGGAAGGAAGGAAGGAAGGAAGGAAGGAAGGAAGGAAGGAGTGTTGGAGTTTTCCCAGAAGGTGACTCACCACTCTGAACACTCATTTTCTGTTAAGACATGTACTAGACGTGGCCAAGTCGGCCCTGAGAAAACACCCAGGTGGGAACTCTGCTGCCAGCGTTTGAAGAGGGCATCATGTACACTGCAGAGAAATATTTGCCACTGGGCAAATAATTAAATCCACCGATGTGCCACCTAACACGAGTGAGATAATACAAATTTAGAAAATCCCTAGACGCTATCAGGGCTACCAGGAAGTCCCCTTCTCTTTTTCCTCCTGTGAAGTTTGCTCTTGAAAGCCCAGACTGGGATTCTCCCTACAATGCTATCTTGGGAATTCGTTGGGATTACCTGCGGAAAGCTTCTCCTATGGAACGCAAGGTGTTTTCTACAGCAAGTGAAAAGGATTCTCCAAAGCTGGTACTTATTCTATTATTTAAAAAAAAAATTGGGGTTGTTGTTTTTAAAAAAACCTCAATATATTTTAACCACTGAGCTGCCAAATGGAAAAGGGCAACTACAATTTATCAAGAATGAAATGCACCATTGATATATCTCATCTTCTCTGCTGTTTATTTAAGGACCTGAGCTTCAGAATGTCCACTCAAGGCATCATGTAGGCATTTTAAATGTGCTTCCCATGTGCTCCACCATAGAACTCCATCCATGGTTTTCTCTAGCATCATGTGTACATTAGGAAGCTCGTAACAGGGTTGTCACACTCGACCCAGGTTTACCAACATTGACACTCTCCCAATCAAGCGTGAACTTACTCCCACGGCGGATATTGATGAGAAGGTTCCCTCTAATTTCGGTGCATCCCTGGAGCGTCTGTGCCGAGGTGACGGAGTCAATGGTCATGGTTTTGGCATCTGCACACACTTTGGGGCAGGGCCCCTCACAAGGGCTGCAGAACATGCTGGTAAAAGAGAAAGGATAGGAAGAGATGAGCAAAAATGGCCCTTCCATGAGTCGTGGTGGCGCGAATTATGACCATTTTTCACACTTACAACAGTTGGAGCATCCCCGTGGTCACCTGATCAAAATTCAGACTCTTGGCAACCGAGTTATATTTATGAGGGTTGCCGTGTCCCGGGTCACATGATCACCTTTTGCAACCTCCTGACAAGCAAAGGCTTTGTGATTCTGATTCTATATTGCACAACACAGCCAGATTTCCCTTTGTGCTGCCTTTGCACTGCACTGACAAATTTGGCCAGAGTTTAGCATGCAAGCCCCAAGGATGAGAGCTGTTTAATTCTTGTCAGCTGATTCCCAGCTGAGTCACATGGTACCTTTGTAATCCACGGCTCCCATGATGCTTTACATGAATTTACAAGCTCATATTTCAAATGCTTCAGCACAAGGCGCCGTTAATACACGCCGGAAACCTTTGAGAATGCAAACTAAGATTTTTTAGCCCTTTGGTTTGCAGCGATCGGTGTGTGATCAAGGGAGATTGGAGCAGGAAAACACACACAAACGCACACGTACACAAATGCTTACAAGCACACGGGTTATTGTTCCCGGTTTTCCGTCCATCTTTTTTCCATTCATACCGTGAACATTTTGATAAGATAAACAGCTGGCCCTTTTTTTTTATGAGGGCTTTTAATTGCTTGAAAACACAAGTGGTCAGATAGTAGCGGAAGAAAAACAGATTAAACAGGTAAACATTTGGTTTCTAGCTGGGGGGGGGCAGAGATCATTGCTTTTGCACCTGTATGTAAACTAGAAATTCTTCAGGAGGAAAAAAAAATGGAGAGGTGTGTTTGGACAGCTTCACACAAAACAAGAGACGCCATGCGTCAGCAGCAGCTCAACGCAACCCAAATAAAGACATGCTGTCCAGGTCATTAAAAACAATTTAAAAATCCCTGCAGGGATTATTCTCTCTGCAGGAGAAATATTTCCTTTTTAATTACTCCCGGATCAGGCATGCCAACGGCTCTTAATCAGGCAGCCGATAAAGCAGATTCGGCAGTTATTTCATCTCTGCAGCGCAACAATTATCAGTTCTTGGATATATTGGCGGATAAGCCCAGCCCGGAGTAAGCCGACCATCGAATTTTCAACCAAAACACCATGAAAAATGTGCCACCCGCGGATAAGCTGAGCCTTCAAATGTTCGCGCGTTTTTATTTTTGCAATTGGCTGATTAGCAGGAGGCATGTTTTTCATGGTGTTTTAGTTAATAGTTGGAGGGTCGGCTTTTTCAGATATTTGTGAGCAGGGCTTTTTTTCAGCCGGAACGCGGCGGAACCGCGTTCCGGCACCTTTTTCCGGGCCGGCCGCACCGGAAATAGCCCCTCCCGCACCGGAAATAGCCCCTCCCAAATTTTACTTGCATTCCTGTTCTCTAAAGGGGCGGTCCTAGGGTTTGATGAGGGCGTGGCCAGGTTTGAGTTCCGCCACCTTTTCTCTGA